CAGACAGGAACAGGGGCAGAAAGTAACTTGCGAAGTATTGCTCATTTAGGTATGCCTGCATCATCATATGAATATGTATGCGTATGTGTTCTTTTCCCTCCTCCTTCTTGTAGAACTGTATAAATATCAGGGCATCCATTTTGCCTATAGGGGAGTGTCTCCCACTAACCTTTGGTGGGGTCCCCCTCCAGTACGTACTGAACTGTGCTAGTTCATTTAAGGAAGTAAACTTGCAACATTGTATAATGTCTATATCAACCCAGGAAACTAAAGAAAAAGCCATCAAGCAAGTGAAAGTCTTATATATAAAGTGCTTTGAAGCTATCTTCAGTTTGTGAATCTGCTTCAGTGGGGTGATTCTTTCAAAACTTCATCAAATTGAAGCACCCCTTTGAAGTTTTGCAAAGATCTAGTGATATTGCCCTTGTGTGATTTTGCTTCCTTTCCTTGGGGTATAGTATTATAGCTGCCTTTTCCAAACAGACATGTGTTGGCTATGATGATGGGAGTTGCATCCAACATATTTAAATAGGCAAAATCTGTTTATTTTGCTTATAAATAATGAAGCTCTATTATATTACCTGGATTATGAATGTACATTCTGAAAAGACTGTGAGAAGCAGAAGTTAGAAAGATAAAAGTAATAAAATCCATATACATTCCAAGCAGCAGAGCCTTGCCACACCTTGTTCCCATGCAAATATAGTCTCTTATTTGAAATTTTCCATTGTTCTCCACTCTTGGAGAAGCCATATCTTTGTCTGATGTTGTGAATTTACTTATAATTAAAAAGCATGGTCAAAATATTCCAATTAAAAATGGCCAAATATCACTTCCGTACATATCTGTTCTATTTAATCAGAGCAAATATAGGGAAGTTATTTTCCATTTTTAAAACCCATTAATGCAATAACAGAATATGTATGCAGAAAGAGAAGGCAGACGCATAGCTCTGTATCTTCATCACTGAAAGCAAACATCTGATGGAATTTTATTTAACTTCATTCTACGCTTTTAGTTTTTGGCTTTGATGTTTTTCAAAGATCAAAATCCTGCAGTATGGAGGAAGAACAGCAATTTCAATGTCTTTTGGAAAAGGTGTCTGACCATCGTGCTAATACAGTTAAGTGCTATCAAATTATATATGCTAAAGCATTTTAGATAATGATTCAATTGACAGCTGTGATGCTTTATTATGGCTGTCTGACTAATGACAGTTTCTTTATAATACCTTATTTATGCATTATAAATTCATGTAATTTAACAAATCAGGTTATTGTTCAGATCAGCAATCAGCTCATGAGAATACTGCTGGAACAATGAACTGCTACAATAAAAAAAAGCCCATTTCATCCAGTTGAAAACATTAATATTATGGGCAGTTTCAGTCTATTTGTTTAGAAAAAATTGAATTCCTTTCTGTTCTTTTCTTCTTTCACTTTGTAAACTTATACGATTAGAGTAGGTTATTTCTTCACATTTTTCTTTGGAAAGCCTCAAGTTAATATTTCATATTTTTTGTGCATATGTCTAACAAACAGAAAAATGTCCTGATTAATATATTTTAGTCTGCCTTGGTTTTTGACAATTCAGTTTCTTTTCTGGAAAAGCAGATGATATTGTACCTATCGGTGTTGTAGCAAAATAAAATCATTTGTTCAATACCTAAACCAACATCCTTTTCTTCCCAAAATCTTGGAAAAATTATCAAGGCTAATATATCTAAGGTACCTGTCATACTGTTTCAGGGAACTTTGTACTGTATATGCATGCATATACTCATATTTACATACACACACACACACACACACTAATACATGCATATGCTTACACATATCAGTTCTAAAATTATGACTTGGCAAATAACGGGCCTTGGGCTTAGAAGCAAAGTGGGTTTCAGCCTTCATAGCACTTGGGCAGAAGCAACCAGAAATCCCATGGCTAGAGTTAAGTATTTGTTTGTTACATTTGTAGTCTGGTGCAATCCAAAATACTAGTTTGGGAAATTAAAAACATCCTGGAATGAGGTAATGGCAAATTACTTCCAAATTCCATGGACATCTCTATGAAGATGAGATGAGATGTCACCAGAGATGAGCATAACTCAGAAGAGACTACTCCTTTAAAGCCCACCTATTCTTTACACAGTCCTTTTGTGGAAAACTTTGCTTTCCACAAAGGTCAGCTTTGAAGTTGAAGTTTCCTTTACATTAAATTATCCTGAATACTGTTTCCTAGAAAAGAATTCAGCTCCTTGGTCTCGTACATATTGAAGCCAGGTTCTAATTATGAATGGCTATGGCCTAAACATTTGATTACAAAAGTTTCCCACTGTGTTCTTATTATTAGGTCAATACAGAGTGGCTGCTTTTCTTACCTGCATTTATTACAAGTAATATAACCTGATTATCTCAGTTCAGATTTTCTGTTTATTTATTTGATATTGCAGACACAGCAGCAGTATATTTTCAGATGGGAAACCTAAGACATAGATTTACATTCTGTAGTACTTTGACAGGTTCTAGTTATTCAACCTAATTTTGTAAAACAGTTCTGTCTGCTGGCTTCCCTGGAGGAAGTTGTTGCCATCTATCATTTTAACACTTGATTGATTACTCACTATTATTGAATTTATCTTCTGATTCTTCTTAGCTTTTTTCCTTAGCTAATAAACAAATATATCACATTCAAATGTCCCAAGAGTTGGATAATCCTTTGTAGAATGATTGGTAATATTTTGTCTTGAGTAATAGTATCATATGTGAAGGCTGTGGCCTTGATCCGGCAATAGATGTTGGGCATTTACAATAAGATTTCCTACAAATGATTTGCTCTTATTTATTCATGTAAAAAAATCTCTTGTGACAACAGCATGTAGCTAATTTGTAACAGAACAGTGTTTTTTACCCCAAGTACCTTCACACAAATAGCACATCATTTTTTCTACTTGTACAAAGCACATAAATCAAATAAAACATACTTATCCTTAAAAACAAAATAACCATATAGGATCATACCTATCTAGTCCAGCATTCGATTCTCACACTGGTCAGAGAGATGTCTACAGGAAATCCATAAACAGGACATAGATGGAATAGCACCTGGTATTGGGAAGCATACTGTCTCCTGGATGGGAGGCATAATCGTCATGATTTTGTATCCACTGAATTTTTCTGTTACCAAGTAAGCTC